AGGCAAACGCCCTACCGCTGTGCTATCACTCCAGCCCATCTGAAGAATATCCCCTATTAAATGAGTTTAATAACTAACATTTATAATGATGATTAGTAATAATGAATTACTTTTACCATAGTTTTTAGTACTTATACTATTAAGGTATTTTAATTTATTTATTGGTCACCAATTTACTGAACACTTTTACTTAAACTTAACATTCTTCACAGCACCTGGTACTGTGAGGCAGATATTCTTTTAATTTTTATTTTCATTTTTCAAATAACACCATTGGTATTCAGGGACTACTCCTAGCTCTGTGCTCCGGCGTCACTCTTAATAGTGCTCAGGGGGCCATGCAGTGCTTGGGATCAAACCTGGGCTACTCTCAGCACACAGCCATTCGAATTATTACTGACCCGAAGCAGATTTTCTTCTTCATTATAATACAAATAAATATATAAGTGTGAAGTAATATCTATAGTCCATTACAAATTTAAGAGTGAAATCTTTTGATGCCAAATGCATTTCTATATGTTATTTCTGCAGCAGTGAACTGTCACTGTCACTGTCCTCCCGTTGTTCATTGATTTGCTCGAGCGGGCCCAGTAACGTCTCCATTGGAGATTTTGTTGTTACTGTGTTTGGCGTATCAAATACATCACGGGCAGCTTGCCAGGCTCTCCGAGAGGGGCCAAGGAATCGAACTCGGGTTGGCCATGTTGGCTGCGTGCAAGGCAAATGCCCTACCGCTGTGACAGTGAACAACACTTATTTTTCTAGCCTTATAATTAAAACTTATATCTGTTATGTAGAATGTAAATTTGGTCTGCAGAGTTTTAAACATGGTATACTGTGAAGTGCTTTTATTCAATATTAGTTTAAAGAATACTATAAAAATGTAGGGTTAGAGATATGTGTGTGACCAGGCCCAGTTCGAGTCCCTACCACCACATATAGTCCCCTGAGAACCACCAGGATCACCCTTATGCACAGAGGGGATTGTCCCTGAACACTACTGGGTGTGGCTCCCCTAATACAATAAGAAAGTGACCTATAACATTTATATATAGTATACATGTACATGGGCTGGAGCGATAGCACAGCGGGTAGGGCTTTTGCCTTGCATGCAGCCGACCAGGTTCAGTTCCTCTGCCCCTCTCGGAGAGCCCAGCAAGCTACTGAGAGTATCCCGCCCGCACGGCAGAGCCTGGCAAGCTCCCCGTGCCGTATTTGATATGCCAAAAACAGTAACAACAGGTCTCACAATGGAGATGTTACTGGTGACCACTCAAGGAAATCGATGAACAACGGGAGGACGGTGCTACTCTCTCTTCAGCCCATACAGTTTTTTATCCATTCATCTTACAACATTTCAGTTGTTTCTATGTCTCAGCTATTGTATTAAGCACTGCAGTAAACATAGGTGCTCTCATATCCTTTTGAATTAATGTTTTTATGTTACTTTTTCAAAGAGATATTTTAGTATCTCTTGGGGATAGATTTCAAGAAGTGGTATTGTGGGGTGATATGGGAGTTCTATTCTTATTTTTAAAGAAATCTCTTTGTATTGCTTTTCATAGAGGTTGAATCAGCTGACATTCCCACAAATAGTGAATTAGGTTTACCCCACATCCCGAACCAGCACTTGTTTCCAGTTTCTTCAGTGCATGCCATTCTCACTGGTGTGAGATGATATCTCATTGTTATCTTGATTTACATTTCCTTAATTGATAATGAGTACATTTTCATATCCCTATTTGCCATCCATGTCTTCTTTGGAAAGTGTCTGTTCTTCTCTAGCCTTTTTTGGATGGGATTGTTCAATTTTTTTTTGTTATTGTTGAGCTTGTGAGTGCTTTGTAAACTTTGGATTTTGATTCCCTTTATCTGATATATTGTGTGCAAATATTATCTCCCTATTTAGTAGGATGTCTTTATTTTAGCTTGATTTTTCTTTACCATGCAAACCCTTCTTAATTTGATGTAGTCCCATTTGTTTACGTTTGCTTTATTGTCTTTACCTTTGTGATCAGCTTTTGAAGATATTTCTGAGGATCATTTTCTGGAGAATTTTACTTATGTTTCCTACTGTGAATTTTATGGATTCTGGTCTAACCTTGAGGGTTTTAATCCATTTAAAATTAACTTTTATAGACGGTGTGAGGTTGGGCTGGAGCGATAGCATAGCCGTAGGGCGTTTGCCTTGCACGCAGCCAACATGGCTGACCCAAGTTCGATTCCTCCACCCCTCTTGGAGAGCCTGGCAAGCTACCGAGAGTATCTCGCCCACGCAGCAGAGCCTGGCAAGCTCCCCGTGACGTATTTGATATGCCAAAGACAGTAACAACAAACTCTCCAATGGAGATGTTACTGGGCCCGCTCGAGCAAATCGATGAACAACGGGAGGGCAGTGATGGTGACAGATGGTGTGAGGTTAGGTTCCAGTTTTACATTTTAACTTGTGGATCTCCAGTTTTCCTAACACCATTTATTGGAAAGACTTTCTTTGCTCCATTTCATGTACTTAGCTCCTTTGTCACAAATTAACTGCCTATAAATCATAGGGTTTAATATCAGAACTCTCAATTCTGTTCCATTGGCCTGCAGGTCAAAAAAGAAGGAATTTTAAGGGCCTAAGTTCTCTATCCTCTTGGAAAAAATGCAGGAATTTGTTGAAAACAATTTGTACATCATGCTGCGACAAAGTAAGAGACTCCTGTTTTTACTTCTTGTTCAAGAAAGTAAGATTACTGCCACATAATTACAAGAACAGAAAGTATAAAGAGTTAACAGTTCATCTTTTATGTCCATCAGCTGAAAAGGAGGATAAATGGAGTAATGATCTCTTTCTAGTTGTTGAAGTTTGAAAATAAGGATGTGATTATTTATACAAAATGATTGAGTTGGTAAATAATATTTTTGTCCAATCATAAACAAAAATATACCAGTATAAAAGAACTAACAATTTAGTATTCTGAAATAGATTGTATTTTTGTGTAAATTATTTATTTTTATTAATTCCTCAGTGTCAGTATTAACTTTAATATAATAGGTATAAACATCCTCAAAATTAATAATGAGCCTGGCAAGCTCCCCATGGTGTATTCGATATGCAAAAACAGTAACAAGTCTCACAATGGAGATGTTGCCAGTGCCTTCTCGAGCAAATCCATGAACAACGGGAGGACAGTGCTACAGTGCTACTTATATGCAACTTCTTTCCAATCTTATACTGCTCTATTTCTCCTTACTTGGTCTTTCCTAGTACTATAACATTTTCTAAGGTGTTACTAGCCTACTCTGCCCTATTTCTTCTTATACTTTCAATAAAGCATTCAGTACCTTTCTTGTAAGAATTTGTCTTTTGTACCACTGGTTTTGTACCACTGGTTTTTGTCTGGATATTCAATATCAGTTTGTTAAGCAAAATGTTGATATATCTGGTGAGGTATTTTTAAACAGGTAATTTAAAGGGAAAGGAAATGCATGAATGCACATCTAGAGAAGTATTGTTGAGGATTGTGTATATATGTGTCCTGTGTTCAGATAGTGTAGAGAACACAAAATATGTGTAGGATAGGGAGATAAGCCAAGAGGTGATGGCACACACATTACATGTCCAAGACCCTAAATTCAGTCCCTGTTCCCCCATGCCCAACACTTCCAGGGTGACCCTGGTAACTCCTGGCAGTGCTGAGTCCTAGCATCAGGCCTGCACCACCTGGCTGAGCAGCGCCCCAAGAAGCCTTAGCCCCCAACACCATGAGGAGGCCTGCCTCTGCCAAAGAAAAGTATAAGATTTGCAGTACCTGGATGCTAGTTGTGAAATTAGAGAGAATTAGTACAGATCATAGTTCTATGATTACTCAAAGAGACTCTCAGTGGCTTTGACTTTCATAATGTTCTTCATCTCATATATTAGGGTGGATAAACCGTCAGTTATAAGTGTGATGAGGAGGTCATATGTCTAAGAAGTATGTTATGCTCCAGGTTAGAGCAGTATCTTGAAAAAAGCAATTCAGGCTGAGACGGTAGTATTGGTTTCATAGCTAAAATATGCATTGAGTCAAGATTACTGAATGGATCTTGGTGTCTTTGTTAACCTGTTGTGCTCTCCAGTCAGCTGAGTACATAGTACCCAGCCAAGGTGGGGGATAGTAAGAAAGTCATGAGATTGATACACTTCAAGTCCCACACCTGTTCGTTTATCCTGGGCCTACCAGTTACTTTACAGTTTTCATTACTACTGCTCCATTTTTGTCGGTCACTGTGAGGGTTGACTAAGTAATCCATGGAATTAGTATAATGCCTAAATCACAGTGAGTGTCCTAATGAAGGCTCAACAATAAAGATTGTATTATTGTCTCTGTCAGCATGTTCAAGATACAGGTTCCATTGTCCAACCTCCAGATTCTTATACTATTTACCCATTATTGCTCCTCTAGCAATTTATACCTATGATGTAAACATATTTCTGAAAACAGAACTTTTTATTGAATATTTTAATCTTTGCAAAAGTACTTTATACAGTTTGCTACCTACTTCTTTTATCTGACTTTCTTTTCAGTCTCTTTACGTATCTACTTGACCTTCTTATCTTTCTCATCTCCTGAGCTTTGTTCTTGCTTACCTTAGACAGTTCCATGACTTAATTAGCCTCTTATATGTTACCTCCTTATGAAGACCTCCCCTGGCTAAAAGATTCTCTTTTTTCTTGCTTATCTAGTTTTATATTTCTTTGTAGTAGTTCTCCCTGCCTCACATAATATGTCATTTTATACTCTTTATTTATTGTCATTGTATCTTTCTGAAACATAATTTATAGTTCATGTTAGTTTTACCAAATTAGCCGTGCCTGAAGCAGTACTAAGTAAATATTTGTTAAATGACTGATTTAAAGGCTTGGAGGTTATTAGACCTATAAATTGAACTTACCCTTTCAAGATTATTTTAGAAGAGTAAACATTGGCAACTTTTAATGAAAAGAACCTTAAATTGCAATATTTTTCTTTCAGAAAGATGTTGACTGTGAAGAGACTATCAGGAAGTCATCTCTTCGTAAGCAGCGCTTCATGCAGTTTTCTTCACTGGAACATGAAGGAGAATATTACATGACACCACGAGATTTCCTATTTTCAGTAATGTTTGAACAAGTAGAACGTGAGTTTTTTTTAATTTTTTTGTTTAATTTAAACATAGAACTAAAAAAGAAAACATTTTTAGAATTTGTTACAATTTTTTGTTTTAATTATTGTCATTATATATACTACTTGTTTGCATAACCTTTTCATTATGATGATATCAATGTAGTAGAACTTTTGTATATATTTATCTAACAAATAGTTATTTTGTACATGGTTTTCCTAAAAAGAGGAAAATTGATGTGTCTTTATATGAAACCAACCATATTATTAATCAAATAATTCATCCATGATGTTAGCTTTTGGTGAGATTTATGTTTTAAATTGCGCATACACAAAAAAATGAGAAACTAGTCATAATATGAGTCCTGATACCATGACTGAAAAAAGTAGAATGGGAAAAGTCGTGTAGAGGGGCCAGAGAAATAATACAGGAGTTAAGGTTGATTCACGTCCTGGCACCACCTGGTTCCTGCAGCAGTACAGGTACATCCCTGAAACCCCCTTGAGCACTGCCAGTTGGCCCAGACACCAGAGGGTCTGAGTGCCCCCCATCCTTGGGCCATCTCATAGAACTACCAGTCAGGTTAGCGAAGAAACTCCTGTGAGAGGCACCCAGTGCTCCTGAGCACTACTTGGGAAGTCCACCCAAAATAGAATGTGGGCTTTGGAAATAACTCAAGTGGAAGAGCACATGCCTTGCAGGGTTCAATCCCCGGCATCCCATGTACTTCTCCCAAACACCACTGGGTGAGACTTTAGTGACTCTCGTACCATCAGAACTGCACTACACGTCTGAGTGTGGCAGGGAGTGACTGTGAACCCCCTATTTCCCAGCATCTCTTAGTGGGGAGCCCATATGAAAAAGAATGAGATGCAATTTCTTACATTAAGACACAATTTCACACATTTCCTTACTCTTGTTTTTTTAGTACTTCCACTATTTATGTAAATATGTTCTCTAAAAGAACAAATAGAATTAAAAAAAACAGAACAGTGAAAAAACTCAAAAACTGTAACAATTATATTCTATATTCTATTGCATGGGCTGGAGCAATAGCACAGCAAGTAGGGTGTTTGCCTTGCATGCGGCTGACACAGCCAACCCAAGTTCGCTTCCTCCGTCCCTCTCGGAGAGCCCGGCAAGCTACCAAGAGTATCACGCCCACACAGCAAAGCCTGGCAAGCTACCCGTGACATATTTGATATGCCAAACACAGTAACAACAAGTCTCACAGTGAAGATGTTACTGGGCCCGCTTGAGCAAATCGATGAACAACAGGAAGACAGTACTACAGTGCTATTCTATTGCATTATTCCCAGTATCAAAAATTTTTGATTTTATTAACAGAATTAGTTCTTTTTTGCAGAGTAGATACCACCTTGACATCTGTGTCCCATACTGCATAAGTGTTCTATGAAAACCTCTTGACTTCCTGTTCCTTTAAACAAATGTAACTAGAACATAAACTTGAACAAGGTGAGTAGTGACAAATATAGACTTGATTTTATTTTTTTGAAGAATTTGAGGAACCATTTGAGAATTTGAGGAACCATTATTAATTGATAGGGAACTTGAAGCAAAACAATGACTGGCCTTTTCTCAGGACAGTAATTTTACCAATATCTGCAACCAAGTACTTTAGGGAGTAATGATATTTCTGGACATAACCATGGGAGGGTTCTTCAGGTTCTTGCACAACTTGAACCAGAAGGTTCTGGCCAGGAACAATCCAGGAGAGTATGAGAGGAAGACAGCAAGCAGTCTTGTTTTAGCAAAGTGAATGTATATACTAGTGTGATTATGGACATCCTTGCAAGTGAAGAAAGAGTATTATGTTGGGGACAGTGCTAGGAGGTATGTCTCCTTCACAGATGGCTTTCTCTTTGATTGCCAGTAGTGTTGTCGATGGTGACATCTGCTCTTAGTCTACATTGCTAGGGCAAGACTAGCAGCCACACACATTAGGTTCCTCTTTCCCTTAAATCTGGGACAGATTTAGCATCCCCAGAGGAAAGTCATGTGAACATGTATCAGGAGAGAAGATTCCCCTTTGTTTCTATATCCTTAGACCACAAATCTGTGAACGCTTGGAGGTTAGGAACTGGAGTTCTCAGATGTGAGTATTCCCAAGATCAGGTTTTATTTAACTAACCAGGTAAGGATCCAATCTCACTCAGTGAGTGAACAAACTGAGTAACAAGTGAGCCAGATTACTGGCTAGAGATGTGAGTATTCGGTGGGCATGGGTGGTTGGCTTCATCCTAAACTAGTGAGGGAGAAATTAACAGGAAATTAGGTGCTTAAATATTTACTTTGTATTTATTTATTCTCGATTGCACTCCTGCGAACTGCTGATGGTGCTGCAGTGCACACACATGCTTGGCAGGCAGTAGTGCTCACACCATGGTCCTGGTAAAGCCCTGGAGTTGCAGGGCTTGCAACTCATCTGAGTGTGGTGCAGCAAGAAATTGCTGATAGAGCCCACCCAAGGTTACACACAACAGAGCTGCCAGCTCCAATGACAGAACTTCTAGGATCATGCTTGGCACAGTCAAGCAGAAATTGAACTAGCAGCATCACACTTGCAAGGTGGCACTGTAGACTCTGAGCTGCTATATTTAGATCATGAGGGCAAGAGCGATAATAGAATGGGTAGGACTTTTGCTTTGCACACAGCCAACCTGGGTTTAATCCCCAGCATCTCATATTGTCCCTGGAGCACTGCCAGGAGTAATTCCTGAGTGCAGAGCCAGTAGCAGTCTCTGAACATCATCAGGTATGGTCCAAAAAATAAAACAAAGAAAAATACACACACACACACACACACACACACACACACACACACACACACAAATACATGTTCAGGGCATTCAAGCACATCTTCTTTGAAGGAAAGTTTGATACATCTCAAAAACCTTTAAATTTTTATCATTTTGATTCAATACATTTACTCTAATCAGATTTATCTGAAAATTAATTAGATGTATCTAAAATATTTCTTTTAAAGAAGAGTATAACAAATCGTTAATTCAAAAGGAGATGTGTGCACACCTATCACCTATGTTCATTGCAGTGCTTAGTACAATAGTCTAGGTACGGAAACAACCCAGATGTTCAACTGTGAATGAATGAATCAAGAAGTTATGATACATTCACACAGTGGTTCAAGGGAAAAGAACTGGAGAGCTGATCCACAGACAGAACTGAGTTTTGGGTGAGGAGAGGTCGAAGAGGGTAGAACAGAGTGATGTTTGGGACACTGATGGAGAGAAGCAGGCTCTGGTGGTGGGGGCAGTATTGACATAACAGAAGCATGAAACTGTCACTGGCAGTGTTTTAAATCACAGAACTTCATTAAAAACTTTCATAGGGGGTGGAAAAAGGAAATTACTTTGAAAAATTGGAAATTAAAAGTAATATAACGCCTCCCGTTTACAGAACACTTAACGTGTCATTACTTCTGTCTTTACAAGATAAGAACTCTCAGGTACATAAAGAATTGAGGTGATAGGACTCACAGACCTAAACACTGGAAACAGGTAGATAAAGAGAAACAGATCTTATCAGGAGGAGAAGCCACCACTGGGGCCAGCATGTGCTGGCAGTATTAAAGAGTAACAGGCCAAATGCTAGAAGCTGAGTATGGTCAAGATAAAGAAACACTTGAGAGAAGGGACCTGGAGGAATTAGCGCTGTGCCTTGGAACACGTGCTTGCGAGCATCTGTCCTGAGTTAAGTCTGCAGCTGCCTGCTCAAAGCCCAGCCCTAGTCACTGTGCTGCTTGTGCCAGCAGCTCCGATTGCCCGTGCTCCCTGGCACCACAGTCGAGTTCCAGCTGCTCTGCGAAGCACCACAGGTGAGATGACAAACTCTGTGGCCAAGAACGCACTGCCCGGGCAGCACTGCAGTCAGAGCCTGCCAGGAGTGAAAGGGCAGCTCCCAGGAGAACCCGTGCAAGCACCACGGAGGGAATCCTGTTCTTTACAATGACAGCATCAGCTGCAACGAAGAGCATGGGAAAGAGAAATAGTGGCCAGAGAAATAGTACAATGGGTAAGGTGCTGCCTTGCACATGGTTTCATCCCTGGAACCACATATGATCCCACAAGCACCTCCAGAAAGTAGTCCTGAAGCGCAGAAGTGTGCAGCCTGGAGTAAGCCCTGAGCACTCTAGGTTAGCCCAATAATAGAGAGTTGGGGGGAGAGATAATTTTTCCTAGAAGAGATAATTGGGAAGGGGGTGGATAATTTTTTGAGCCTCCCAACTGGTGTCCAGGAGGCCCAGGGACCACTCTTAGCAATACTCTGGCAGCTGGGCCAGTGATTCAATGCTAGGACTGAGGGATGTGATTGCTGCGTAGGCCTTGGTGCTGATACCTCCAGGGACACTCTGGAGCTGCTCAGGGGCCTCTAGAACTATACTCAGTGATGCTCAGGGTTCTCCAGGACTACACCTAGTAGTGATTGAGAGGATACCTGGTGCTGGTGTTGGTGGGGATTGAACCTTGGTCAGGCATACGCAAGGGAGGTGCCTTAACTACTGGACTATCTTCTGGCCCTGGGAATATTTTTTATTATCATTTAATCAGCTTTATTTTATTTTTCACTTCTGAAAAGTTTTTAAAATTTTTTCTATCTATTTGGGGGTTGGGGTGGCCCAATGATGCCAACGATGTTACTCCTGGCTCTGCACTCGGGAATTACTTCTGGCATTTCTCAAGGGAACATATGGGATGCTGGGAAACAAACCCAGGTCCGCTACATTCAAGGCATGCGCCATAACTGATGTGCTCTCTCTCTCTTTCTGGCCTCCTCATTTTTATATTCAGGTCACGAAAGCTGGAGCAATACTACAGCGTGTAGGGCATTTGCCTTGCATGTGGCCAACCCAGGTTCAGTCCCCAGTATCCTATATGTTGACTATTTTATAACTATATTTTAGATTGTTACAACATGGTTAAAGTTTGTGGTATTGTATAAAATTACTGCACCAATGTGCTCATAAATCTATACCA